TCTGAGAAGGTCAGCTGGGGAGGTAGGGTGAACCACGGGGAAAGAACAGTGCAAGAGGAAGGAAGAGCTGGATGAAAAAAGGGAGGACAAGAGAAGAAGCGGCACGAACAAAGATGGAACAATAAACCCTCCGAGATAAGTGCTTATCTCTCCTTGCACTGACAGTGCAGGCAGATCCTGGGAGGCAGCCTGGCAGGGCTTTTGTTGGAGAACATGGAACTCATGTCGCTTCCTCCACTTGATAAAACCTTGCCTCCACGGCAATTAATCCACGCATTGAAATGTCAAGAGCTATTATTCAATTGCATACCTTGATCAAAAACTGTCCACTATGCTGATTTTTAACCACCTCACCAGCTACATTCCACCCAGACACCAACCCGCCCATATAACGTGGCAGAACGCTCCTCTCCCACTTGTTTGCTTGAGACCCCCAAACAAGAGAAGGTATGGGTGTGTGTGGGTCTAGCACAGACCCAATTCTTTCAATCACTAACAGCAACGTGGCCAGAATTCTCTAAAAATGCTTCTTTCTTGATACTTCACCAACAGTCAACATCAACCATCGCTTTTGTTTACACCCCAACTGCTGGAAGTGGTCACTTTGGCCTAAGAGGAGCACTAAATATTTTCATAGAAATGTAGGATACCCTGAGTTGGAAGGGACCCACGGTGATCAATGAATGTAGCAAACCCCAAACTCAAACCCTACGCCTGAGAGCAGCATCCCATCGCTCCTTGAAGGAAGGAAGTTTGCAACCAAACTGTGACTCCCATGCAGAAGTTCATCCAGGTGGGGATGAGGTAGAAGCACGTTGTTGGAATCGTGGTGTAACACAGGGAACACCATAGAGACAGCATGGAATTTTTGGGTTCTGAAGTGCTGGAAATTCAGCATGCAGCCCACCAGTGCCCAACCTTGTCCTCCATGGCACTGTGCCGAGGCGGTTTGGGGAAAGGAAAAGAACAGGAACAGTTCTGAGCTGGTGAGCTCCTCCTTTTCCAGACTTCATCTTAATTACTCGCTATCAGCAGTACAAACATCCCGGCTGGAACACTGTGATAAACCTCGCCATAGTTTCGACGGTTGTTTAAATAACTGACTGCAGGCCAGAAATAGATCGGAGAGATTTTTTTTCCCCCCGCGATTCACAGCAATTCCACACCTCGCCCATCGGTGGTTTTCCTCCACCGCCCACCACCCAACAGCCGGGTGCCCTCCGGCCCCCGAGCATCTCCGAAACCACCCGTCCGATATCCGGCACATCGCAGGAGCAGCCCCAGGAGCTGCGGAGAGGTTCCCGGCTGAGCCTGCCCAGCTCGCCAGCAGAACGCCGCAGCCTTACCTGGACCAGTACGGCTCCCCGCCTCCATCCCTCCTCATGCCGTCGTGCTGCGGGTCCCGGTGGCCGTGCTCTCCTCCGCACACCGGCGCATTCCTGCCGCCGCCCGCGGCCATGCGGGCAGCGCTTTCCGGCCCCGCCGGCTCACATCGCCCCGGCCGCCGGCTCCCTCCCCCTGCCGAGCCGCGGCCACGTGTCAGCGCCTCCCCGCCGGGCCGTTCCGGGAAGTCCCGCCGCCCTCCACGATGCCGGGGCCGCCCGCATTGCTCTCGGGGCGGGCGGGGTCCCGGCTCCGCATCCAGCCCCGGGGCAGCCCCGAACTCGCGGTGCCCGGGGAAGGCGCTCGGCCGGCGGTCAGCGCGGAACGGAGCTTTGGCATCTCCATCCTTTTCCTTCAAACTTGGTCTTTGTGTTACTGGTTTCTTTTTTCCCCCTCTTATTGTTTTTTGTTTGTTTGTTTGAACTCCTCCTCCAGTAAATAATTAAAGCCCTCATCGGCAATATCATGGGGGCTTAACAGAAAGAACATCCTCACCCTTCAACATCCAAAAACTGCAGTGCTGTTTGCACTACTGGTGGGACAGCCCCTCGTTCCTCTGCCTTTCATAGATGTGCCAGCAGGAATCTCTCTCGCTCTGGATTTTCCCACCCAATTTAAGGAGAAATTGAATAGAAATTCATATTGCTGCAGCTTGATTTAACCCTGCTGGACAGAGCTGCTGCTATCCTTAAATGTCGGATACAATCAGACTTCCGTATGGAAATAGATAATTAAAATAATGGTTATCTCACTTCAAAATAAGAGCACTGATGAATCACCTCAGGAATATAAATGAGCAGCTGTTAGGACATCATTGAGGTGACTGTAGGACCAGTAGTAGCTTGGATGTGGGCATGGCAAAACTCAGCCCAGCCAGGTGGTACACAGCCTTTGGGGAAGGTGCTGAAGCCCCTGGCTGCACCAAAAAGCACAGTGAGCAGGTGTGCATGGCCAGTATAGCCTGCCTACAATCAGGAAAACCAGGAGCCTGTGAACGCTCAGTAAAAACAAAACTTAGCTCTAAAGCTCACTTACCCATTCTTCTGCTAGAAAGAATACTTTTCAAGTCCCTGAAGAGCAGTTAGCTTAAATCAAGAGGACAATATTGAGCTGAACTTTAGAGAGTGAAGTAGCAAAAGGTTCTTCACACACGGACAGATCCAGACCAGAAATAGGAGGGCTCCAGCAAAAGACATACAGTCACGCCACGTTCACTGCCTCTGCGTTTCAAGGAAAGAGGTCTACCCCAAAACACCCATGGCATAATCACATACAGTCACCTGCCTACCCACAGGGAAAGGAAACACCAACAAGCTTTGGTGTGAGTGCAAACTGAGGGGAACTATGCAGAGTAACCACAGGGCTCAGCCTTCATCACATTGTCAGCTTTCTTTCAATTATTTGGACACACGACTGGAAACCATGCGAAGGAGGTGTTTTTATTCACTCTGCTACTGTGACTATTTCCAGAAGAGGGAGCCAAGGCATGAGAAAATGCAGCCAAAAATCAGAAACATCCTTCAGTCTGTTATGAGAGATGTGTATGGATAATAATAATGTGTGTGTTTAAATCTAGGTAGGAGGGGAGACGAGTGCTAATATAAGTACAGAAGTGAAATGTATCTCATGGGCCCAGGAGAGTACAGAAGAGCTGAGCGCTTGGGTATGATACAGCAATCACAGATAGAGAAAACCCACTTACACTCATCTGAGACACTGCTATGTAAAGTTTCAGTTCTGTTGTAGGATGCATCCAACACTGCAGTGTTGGCTATTTACTAAAGTTATAACTGAGTCTCAAAATTGAGTATATCATACCAAGTGTTCTGATTTTGTACTCTTATACTTCCTCCTTACTGCTCTCAGATACTCTGACTAACTTGCTTCTACAGTAGGGAGCTAATTTTACCTTGAGAAATAGCTGCAGTTAAATATATATATATATTTGAATATAAAATTAACAGCAAACTTGTTAACATCCATTTAAAAAGTGAGAACACTGATACCATTCTTTTCACTGCTGCATTACTTTCTGGAGGCAAACATCCCATCAAGGTGATTAAATGGCAAACAGAAACAAGTCAGAAGACAGGTGCTGACTTCAGAAATCAATCAAGAACACAATCTCCTCTTGTTTTCCCTGTGTTCAGTTTAATCTGCCAAAAGATTAAACCAAACAAAAGATTACTGGGATAATATATGAGCTGACATCCACCAGCACTGAATTTTATCCACACAACAGTTGCATTATTTGAATATTTTAGGAAGTTCAGCACAAATTATGTCCCAAATCTCCATTTTTTGGAGCATATGAGAAAGAGTAATAGGTTCACATATTCCATAAAAGGCAACTGCCATCTTCTGAAGAGAAACTCCAATTGATTTGCAGGAGACAACACTGCTCACAAAGTTTTCTGGGCCATTTTCACTAAGAACTTAATGGCAGAAACTGATGCTCACCAGTCACAATGTTTCTACGTGGAAGAAAGACGCACAGTGTGGCTCAGGAGCCACCACATGTTGCTCTAGTGCTAAAGACAGGCTTAGAGCAAAACATGACTCCTTCTCCACTGATATTCAGGTAATTACCTGAAGGGTGCCTTCGGCTGCTGCTAACAGGAGGTCCATGAAGATCAGACACACAGGGATCACGCTCCAACTCAATTTAATAAAGCTTCAGAATGAACTTGGACAGAAAATGGTTTGAAATAAGTTGAGCACCACTCACCTACTAGTCAAGGTGTTGTTGTTGTTTTTTTTAAAGTAGTGCTTTTAAGCTTAGACCCAAGCGTACAAAGCATAAATGTTGTAAATTAAAAACAATAAAATCATCCTAGAAGAATGTAATGGCTTCACCTATATGTACAAGGAGTGGAAAGGAGACAGAATTATGTCCAGGTAATTTCACACATTTTTAATGCTACATAAGTGCTCTCCACATTCATTTCAGTGTTTCTTTTAATGCAGGTGGAAGGAGCAGAAAGTGTTTCAATGAAATCATCTCAAGATTGAGAAGTGCTTGTCCCAGTTTCAAGCTGTGTATGTGTTCTCTTCTTCAAAGGTCTTGAGAGGAAATGCTTTACTTAATATTCTGCTGTTAGTTTCTGGTTTCAGCAGCCTCTGGTTTTCCAACTATATAAATTAAACAGTTTAGTAACTTTTTCTCAGAAAGTACTGCCAGTATTTCATCTTCATGGAAACCCATTATCCCTAACCCTCCACAAATGACTCCGTTGTACAACAGAAGCAACCAGTTTAGCTTAGATTGGACAGGCAGAAAAGAAACATGGTAACAGCCAAGAGACAGCTATAAAGGAGACAATTTTGGAGAAGGAATGAGATTTGTAGCCTAATCAAAACACATTTCCTATAAAGTCTTTTGGCAGCGGCATGTAAGACAAGATATTTTACAACTCGACTTCTTCGTGTTCATAGCATTAATGAAAAGAAAATAATCTTACTTGCTTTCAGCAAAAGAAAGACTGAGAGAAGAATGAGTGTAGTGTACCACATTTGTTTGCCACCGTTGAGTTTGGAACAAATCTTCATACAAAAGTTATTCTCATATTATTCTAAATTAAGTGGAAAAAATATATATGTATTTTAACGCTAAAGCAAACTGTTCAAAGTGGCATTTAATAGTATTTGTTAAAGTGGTTATCTAACAAAAATGGGTTAACAAAATCCCATCCATTAGTAGTCACCAAATAAGACATTTCTCATGCATATGACAAAAGTCCATTCGTGTACTGACAGAGGTCTGTTTACTGTGTACAATATTTCCATAAATTATGTTTCACAGCCCCTACCATCCAAGAATATTTCAAACAGATTATATATTATATTTGTATATGCAAACTATTTTATATACACTAATATAAAGATCCTTAGAAGTACCGTTATGACTACCTTTACGCTTTCTCTAAAATGCATAGCTTTCGAATATTTTCTTGCAGTTACCAAAAAACTTTACAGATTAAAGCTGCTTATCAATGTGGCATGTTCATAAAAACAAAGTGAAATAGTTCTATACTAACTTTATATTAAACCCCTTAAAAAACATGTTTTTTTAATGGAAAAAAAAACAAACAAGCTAGTGAAAATTCAAGTAATCTATGCTCACTCTTTGCTCAAATACTATGTGAAATTAACATAGCGTTCCAGAAGTACAGTAAACTTCTCAACCAGGACTGTAATACTGCATTTCTCATGGAGAAAAATGCTAGTCATGCAACAAAACCGCACTGCTTTCCACTTCATCTGGGAGAAGCTTTAGATGAGATTTAGTATGTAAGCATCAGAACAGAGGAAAAGCTGATCAGTTACATATGAAGAAATTAGAGCTATTCCAGTTTTGTTTCTGCAGTTTGTTATTAAACAAAGTGACATTAACCACACAGTTTCTCACAAACTAAAAGTTATACATGGTTTTTAGACATCAACCGAGTGGGGAAAAAAAAAAAAAAAAGGAAAAAGAACACAACTGTTAAAATGTTGGTGTTAAAATAACCAGTCTGGGAGAAGGAAAGCCAGACCACTGCTGTAACTGGGGGCAACTGATAGCTTGCTTGTTACGTATAAACTTCGAGACCTCCATGCCACAAAATGCCTTAAAAGTGCAGAACAAAACTATCAGTAATAAATGAGAACAACTCATTTTGTTATACCCATCATCTAGCTTAAACTTAGTGCTCTGCATCTCTAATAGCTGCTTAACAAACAATGGATTCCCCTCACAAAAAAACAGCTACACAAGTAAACAGTGTTCACAGTAATGCAATCAGTAACAGGTTTTTTTTTTTTTTTTTTTTTTTTTTAGTTTCCATAAGTCAGGTGTATCTGCAAAGCTTTATACAGTTTAATGCGTAAGTATTCCAGTAAAATTAAGTGAAAACTAAGTTTCATTCTACAGGGTAATATCTACCATACAAGACTAGATTATGTACAGTATGGGACTGGTATGACAACTGCCAGTGCATCGTGATGTTCAGCTACTTCACCCACCAGATCGGTCTTTGTTCAACAAATCATTAATAACTTGATATACAGACCTAAAAAACCTACAGATTGATTTGGCAAGATTAGTGCTTCCTACCACTGGATATACACCAGTGAACAGTGCTGCAAAATTAAGTTGACCTGAACATCCCATACCCACAAGATTACAATTTGTTGACTTGAAAGTCTGGACTTTACATGTAAAACATTAAAACCAGAATCCTAACTGGAGTGAGGGCAGTCAGTAAACAAAGTAATACAGGTGAAGATGAACTGCATCTCTTCAGAAAGGTATGGAAAGAATCGAAAAGAACTGACATTTCAGTCTTGAAAGACAGCCCTGCTCTGCTCTGCTCAAGGCATAAAAACAGCCCAAGTAGCTCTAAAACTACAATTCTTATTCAACAAGAGTAAAGGCAGATCCTGCACAAGAAGATACATCAGAGGCTTCCGTAAGTCTCTCTCCCCCCGCTTTATTTCCTAACACAAGTATGTCTTTCAGCTTACAAAAATCCAGTGGCCCTCCAAGCTCTACTAGCCTGCTGGAATCACTGCAGTGTCTGCAGCTGCAAACTCAATATGGAGGGGAAAGGTCCCCTTTAAGAAAAACTCTCAAATGCCTCTGAGGGCCATTTTGGTCATTTGTGAAAATTAAGAAAAAACTTATTTCCAACAATACTCTCATGAAAAAAGATGGGTCACTGATCCATTATGAACATAGCTCTCACCATATAAAGCACCAAAAAGTCAGAAACAAGGAAAAAAAAAGTTCTTAAATTAAGATTTACAAGTTTGTACACTATTTCCTAGGCAAAAGGTTGACCTTACTGCAAAGTTTATAGATGAAAACATGACCAGTTACTCTTAAGGGGAATGTATATCTTGCTATAACTTAAAGGTAGAAAATATTCACTGTTCTATATACACATTTCAAACAGGAGACAGTTAAACTTAACTGAATAATTGCCAATGTAACTCCATATTAACTCACTGACCACTCAACTAAGTATCAGTAGCCAATTAGAAAGCTTGAGTTCTGTACTTTTAAAAACGTGATTTTTCCTGTCCTGTTTAATTGTTTTTTTCTTTAAAAATGTATTATAGTGCATAGCCTAAGTCAGACTTCCAAAGAGATACAGCGCCTTTCAATGCAGTTTTTGCAGCATTCAAAAGGGACTTTTCTCCCTTCAAATTAGATGTTCATTGAAAAATCTGAATTGAGTGCTGTACTGTAGTAAAAATATTTCAGTCACAGACTGATATAAATGTATACTGTGCAGTACTATGATTGTTTGATGTCCATCTGCACACATTTTACTTGGGTTCTTCAATTGTCCCCTTGCTGAGGTCTGTCATTTTGGGGTATTTCACTTTCTTCTGGTCTAGCTCATTCTGAGCCCACAGTAGTAGTTTCAGTAATTTTGCCAACTTGGGTGTTGATTCACGATTTTCATAGTCTAGAACAGCTTGATTAACCTCACTCCATACCTGGAAAAGAAATACTTGAGTTTAGTAATAGTTTTTCTATGATTAACACTTGTAATGTCACACAGACATGGATAACATCAACACAGCTTGTTAATTCTCAGAATGAGGCAAGGGCAAAGCTCCACATACCAACAGCCTAGAGAAACAAAAAAGAAAATCAAACAGTTTTTTGAATGCTGCTTAAGAAATATTTCTGCTCTTTTGCATAATGCTATACACATTTTTATAAAAATTTCAAAAATATTTGGACATTGTTTTCACCACATACGAATAAAATACATCAACTTCCTTATGAGCAAATTCTACCTTCTGTCGCTGCATCATGTTAAGCAAGTCTCCAAATGGTGATTCTTCAGGATTATCGAAGGCAAGCAAAGCCAGCGTGCGCTCCATTTCTGTCAGGCATTCCCGGCTCTCCTCGCCTTGTTCTGCTAATTGGGTCTGAGCAAATTCCAGAGCTGCTTCTGTCTCACGCTGCCGAATCAGTTCAATCAAATGCTGCTGCTACATACAGAAAAACACAGCAATGTTAGCTAAACAAATCAGCAAATCTTCAGTATTTCAAGACCAAAATGTTCAGTCATTAGTATGTAATTTGAGACAAATACTAATCCATACTATGAAAGTTTAAGGTCAATGCTAAATATCTGAGACAAGAAGTAATAAACTTGCCAAAGATTTACTAGAAAAGGTAGTCTGATGTTTTTAAATAACATGTTTTGAAAATGTGTGTTACTAAAAGAACTACTAGAAACCCAGATTAATAGTTGGTAAATCACAGATCATTCCCACTGTTAAAAGTTTCCAAGTTACTAATTAATTGTATATGACTGTTGTACCATGCCACAGAATTTCCCACTGCTATAAAATGATATCAAAAACAAACATTTCAAACTGCAGCCGTGTTCAGCCACAAATCCCTTACAATACTCTTAAACCCACACTTTTTCCAGAGTTTCTTAATAACTTCTGAAACAAAAATAGAATTTCCACTTGTTCTTACCTGCAAATGAAAGTAAAGATATCTGTTTGTATCTAACAGTTCTGGATGGAGGCTGTTTATTAATGAAATGGCTTCTTGAATCTGTCCTTTCAGTATCATTTCTCTGATTTTTATTCTTTCATCAAGTGTCTCTAAATCAACACTGGGTTCAATTCCAGACTCCATTCGAAATTTCTCTGCTGCTTCTTTAAAGCCCTCTGAAATACAAACGTTTTACCTACAAATCAGTTTTGTAAAACACCTAAAAAAAATCAGTTTCACTGAAAAGATGAGAGTATTGCTTGTACATTTTTTGATTCAAAGATTAACTCTGAAAACTGAATTGTCAACTTCTGAAAAATTCTTATTTATATAAGCATCTAATCCAACAGGAACCTGGCAGTACATGCTTAGTTCATTTGTAACTCAAGTGCCTTCATTCTCTAAGGATGCAAGCATCATGTAACTTTATATGTTCAATAAAGCACTATTGTTTTTTCCAAAACGGGCTCATATTTGAAGAATTTGCATGATTTTGATTCTCCTCCAGTCCCCAATTGTGTTTTTATAATTTTACTGACAGGAAAAGAACAGAAACAAACAGGAAAAGAAAACAAACTTTGCTTTTCTAAAACAAATATAGTGTTGGTAAAAGTTTTTAATGGTCACTCTGAATCTTAAGTTATATTTCTGTACATGCACAAATGATTTAGCTTACTTTATTAAGCCACTAAGATGCTCTTCTCTCATCTCAGAAGATCCAGTTGTACACCAATGTAAACAGGGGTGTAGATCAAATATAAATGCCTCCACCCTAGTATAGCTTATGGTGATGGTATGCATCATAATTGCTAGGGACAATTCCCAAGGGTTTTTGATTGCTGTAAGTATAAAGTTAGGCTATATGCTGAAGAGCTTAATAATTGTCATCAAAACAGTTCAAGACTAAAGTGTCCTTTCAGAGTCTACCCTTCTAGACAGTTAAAACTTGCTTCTGATAAATGCTCTGTGAAGCTTTATGAGTGCTATTTAAAAACAGCTCCATATCTTGAGTTCTGTCTTAACGGCACAAAAAAAGGATATCATAGAGAAGCAGGTTATTTCTGTTTACGGCAATCCAAAAATACTTTCTTCTTTATCTTTAGCATAAGAATTAAGGGCAGAGTAATTTCTTTTTCAATATATCTGCTAGGTCCCTGTTTTAATCTAATTGATTCTGTGTCCACTTAAGAGAATACAAGAGCACCTGTACATTGCTAAAAGTCAAAAGCAATCACCAAATCCTTAAAGTCCTTAATTCTACTCTTTATAGTACCATATTCTAACCAAAGTGGTATGCCCCAACAAAATACAATAAAAGCCTCCTAGCATTACAATGCACTATTACCTGTAACAAGGTAGTTCATGATAAGGCGGTTCATGTCTGCTCTCTGAATATGCAAGTTATTAAGTTTTTCCATCCATTCATCTTTTGTGATTTCATCAGGTTTTTCTGCATAACTCATCCTGGTCTCTTACTACAAAGAGAGAAAAGCATTTCATTTAACACAATTCAATTAAAAGCAAGCTTAATGTGTGTAAGTACTGTGCTACTGCTATCTCTGTATCTTTCTAATGAGATCTCTTAAATATTCCAAAAGACACTTTTATCTGCAGGCATTATTTTACATTTTCTTTTCCTCCTTCCTGCACTTTCAGCCAGTTTCTAAAGCTGCTTTCATCCATCATCAAAATACAAATTCAAATACCATTTTTGCGTCGTTAAATCCAGTCGAAATAAAATCTTGTCTAAAAGTTATACAGGACCCACAGCATCACGAAGTAAAACAAATGAATCAAAGTTTTACAGCTAACCAGAAAGCCTGTAACAAATTTCCAAAGCAAAGTCTATATAAACAACATTTGCTTTAAAGTTTTTTAAAAACAAAAACACTGACTGGATAGCAGTGTATGTCACACAGCCACAAAAAAGCAGTGAGTGCTCCCGCGCACAACCAGACGGCTTAGTGTGACCGTCCCAGAAGCGCTCCTGCCAACGCTACTAAATTATTTCCCGGTGTTTTCTCTCAGATTCGGAAACAGTGCACTCTGCTAAAATCGAAGCCGGTATTTGTCCACTTCTGACAGGGGCAGCAGAAGGGGCGGCAACAACAGCAACAGGCACCGCCACCCCGAGCGGCAGCGCACCGCCTCCCATCAGAACGGCTCCTTCCCTCCCTAGCTCTCACCAAAGTCGCACCGACCCCAACAGCACCAGGCAGCGGGGCACAGGACGGGCCCGGAGCCACCCGAAGGACCGAGCGCTCCCGGCCCGCGCTCCCAACCACGCGGCGTTTCCCCGGAACTGCTGCGGCGCGAGCCCCGCTGAGGGACCCCGACCTTCCCCCGCCTCACAACACCCCGCTCGGCTCCGGCCCTCCGAGGCGCAGTCCCCGACCCGGCCCTCCGCGGGCCCAGGCCACCCAAGCGCACGGCTCCGCTCGCCACAGGCCCGGTGCCTCCCCGCCGTTCGCAGCGATCGGCGACGGACCGAGCCGCCGAGGCGAGGCGAGGCGAGGCGAGGGCCGCGGCAGCCCCCGTCCCCCGGGGAAAGGAGCGGCTCCGCTGGCGCCATCTTACCGAGCGCGCTGCGATACCGGCTTCAACGCACGAACACGGACTCCACCGCCGCCTCTGCCAGGCCTCTGGCGCGCGGATCTCGCGAGAACTGCTCTCTCAGCCAATCGGCGTCAGGAGAGAAGCGAGAATACGCAACCATAGAGATGGGCCGCGGGACAGAGTGTACACCATGTATGTACACACACATCCAGTGGGGCGCTGGTACCATAGAGAAGACTTGAGGCGCCTCAGTACCGCTAGATTGAAGCCGGTCCCGCCGGGAGTGCCATAGAGTTAGAGCTGTCGAGGTCAGGCCGCAAGATGGCCGCCCTGCCAGCAGGGCGAGTGGCGCTGGAGGGAGCGAAGCTGCATGAAGTGGGGCTGGGGAGCAGTTGTCATCTGTTCCTTGTCTCCCCTCTTTGGCTCTCACCTGTCAGGCAGGGCCTTTGCTGACTCCATCATACTGCCTGTTCCCGCTGCAGGCCCGCTGCTCCCTGTCTCCTGTTCCTCCTTGATATTTTAGTGCCTCTAGCGACAGTGCAGGCCTACTCTGGGATGGCCAACTTGCAGTCTGCAGACCTTCTTCAGTTGCCACGCTGGACTCTTAAATGTAGTGGCTGAGGGCTCTGATTTACAATCTGTAAAAAAATCTATACTGGCTTCAGTGAATTAATAAACTTGCTGCAACTAGATGCAATAAGGTTTATGAATCAAGGCACAAAGACAATAAAACAGTTCTATTTGTGTATTTAAATAAGAGAGCAGTACATTTGCATATGAAATATGGCAAATGATATTAATTGGGAGCATATAATTTCACTTAGTGGGAATATGGATACAATTACTCATTCTTCACTCCTGTTTTTTTTGTAATTGCGCAAAATGTAGTTTCCAGTTTGCTTGATTTTTTTTCCATTACAGTTGTTCCTACATTGAAATTGATACTCTCTGTAGTTCAATTTTTTATTTTTATTTTTTAATTCTCAAAAAACTCTCATTGTTTATAAACAATAGAAAGCTTTGGACAAAGAACTTCAAATATATACTAATACACACCATTAGCTGTTAGCCACAAGACAGAAAGCTACAGCACAGCAAGTATTCATACTGTTTGGAAAGAGCTTTTCATCTAGCTTAAATCAAAGCAATCAGTCAAACACACAAAAAAACAAACAAATCAAAAGAACACCCAACCCTCTCAACAAATTTGACACTCAGGGAAAGACAAAACATTCCAATTCTATTTCTTATACATCTGAATCAGCTGCTTTGTGAGTCTTTCCTTTAGACTCCTGTTCCTGATTCTTGTCAGCTCCTCCCCCAAAAGGTGGAGTTTCTCAGGAGATTTCCATAAACACAGAGGGAGTAGGAGAGTACCCCTCTTTTGAAGGGTTTCCTGAGCTTATTGTTGAGGGAAGTGCACCCTGGGTAAAGAGGAGACACGTGAGAGCAACTCTAACTGCTGTTTACAGGTGAAGAGCAAAGATTAGCTTGTAGCTGCTTTTAAAGAGTAGAATAATATACTGAGTAAACTGAAAATGTGTGAGCTGCTATTTGGCGGCATGCTTGATTGTGCAGTGATGGCACTGTTTTTTTCACAGATTGGGATATTCAGTTAACTGCAACAGTTTGTCCCTTTTTTTTTGTTTTTTTTTTGGTTTTTTTTTTTTTCTGTCCTGTTTTTGTCTCTAAGCTGAAGAAATGCAAAAAAATGAGCCAGTAACTATTCCTGTTTTGTAGCCTTGATTTTGTTAAAAAAAAATACTGCTGGCTTTCTTTCTGCCCAGATGTTTTCAGGAGTAGGCCTTTTTTATGACTTTTATGTTAACAAAAAGAAATTTGTAACCTATTTGCAGGGTATTGTGATTTGCTATGTTCTTTTTTTCCTGACCTATGCTTCCCCAGCATTTTGAGGGTAATGTCAAACTGGTTAGAGACTGAGCTTTTGTTTGAGAGAAGAGGCTTTGTAATAACCTAAATTGTAATTTGCATAGCTCTTCTTTGTTAAGCCTCACAAATCTGAATACTCCTTGGTAAAGTATTTCTCTGTTCATCCAGTCTTTATACAAAATGATATAAGGGGAGCCTTGCAGAATTAAGTACCCAGAGGATATGCTACCTTGACATCTGGAGTATCTGTACTGGCTGATGTGCTGGACTCTGGGACACAGGCCTTTTTCTGTAAACCAAAAAAAGGTAAATCTGGAGCACAGCCAACGAAAACTAGTCTCTTCTGACTTGAAGTGATCAATATTTATGTTAAAAAGCAATGGAGTAGGGATGAGAACTTGCTCATTAGCTTTCATACCTACTCTTTTACTGGGCTAACTCTGTCTCTAGTTTTTACCTGTTGTTTTACCTGTTGTTGTTTTCTTGTTCTTAACAAATAAATAAAAATGCAGTTAGAGAAACCCCAGGGATAGTCAAGCACAGATGTATTAGCTGCAGAGGAAAGTCTCAATGTATTGACTGCCTAATGGTAGACAAAATCTAGGAAAGCAATGGAAAAAGGTTTTAAGTAGTACTAAGGGCTTGGTAGATATCCTAGCATAAGCTTTTCCGGTACTTAAGGATAGATGGGTAAGGTGCTTATTAAACTGTTTTAGAAGCTAATTGATATGCATTAATCTTTTTGCTAGGAGTTCTCGGCAGATTTGTGAGGTTTTTTTTTTTTTTTCAGCTCAAACTATAATTACCTTTCTGTTAGAAGCTACAGTTACATTATGTAAGAGAAGACATAAACCACCCAGGAGTAACTTCGCTAAATGAAGGGAAATCAGGCTTTAAAACAGGAAAACAATGGGGAAGGGAAAGGAATCGAGTGAAGTGGAGAAAAAGCTGAGGTGGTGAATGTACTGGTCAAGTGAAGGTGACACAGGTGTTTAGTCAGCAAGGACAGATAACGGACTTGGTGAGAAGGCAGTCTTTAACACAAAGATGTTAGGGGTTTTGTGGGATGAAAGCATTATTTAGTTGGTATTCACTGGGTGTGCAGACTGAGTTAATTATCACATTAAGATGAAACAAGCCTCTTACCAAATGTGTGTAAGAACAGATTAATACTTATTTCACTGCTGGGTCCCCATTCGCTACTGATGTGCACCTCCCTGTTTTGCACATTCCCTTTCCCTTGGTATAGATTCCTTATTATGAGCACTCACTGGATGCTAGATGACCATTAATGATATCATTAGCTTTTTTTCAGGCATAAATCACAGAGGGGCTCGATCTACTACATCAAAAGGTATTTATTTCCATTCCACCTGCCTTTGTTTTCTTGTAACTCTGTAGATGCAGAACAAAAACTACTGCTTGTCTTGTGCTTTCATACAGGAATCTGTTTCTCGCATCTTGGTGTTCCTGAGTGGAGTAAGTATTAATATAGTCCTGTTTTACAGGTGGAGAGGTTGCCTGTGTTGTTAGAAGAAAAAAAAAGCTAATAGTAACTTTAAAGTCATCATCCTTAGCTTTTATTCCCATGAGTCTCATACTGTGCTCTTGAATGTAGATTTCTATAAAATCTAATTGCTTGTAAAAGTTTGGCTCCTGGTGTTTTTTTAGGAGCCTAGACATTTTGAAAGGGTGTTTATTGGGATAAAAGGGTGTTTACTGAGCAGTCTTTGTGCATTAAGCCAGTTAATGCTGTGAGCCCTTCCACAGCACCCAGATCCACAGGTAGGCATTAATGCAGCAGCTGCTACTTGATTTTTCTGAATCAGATTAAGGTAAAAAATGGAATAAGCGGAAGGTGCGGAGCATAGCTGATGGAGCAGCTAGGTCTGCAAGCAGTAGGCAAACTCCTCTGCCATAGAGCTGATTCTGCTCTGCAAGACAAGTCGCTGTGAGCAAAACAGTGCTTAGGACTCGCTACAGTTCAGTTCTGCTTGGCGCTCGGACGCGGGGCCGTGCAGGAACAGCTCCGCTCCCCGCTCTACGGCTGAGGGCAGGCAGCGAAGGGCCGCGGGTTTCCCGCCCAACGCCCAGCTGTGAGGGAGCGCGCGCGCTGCTGGGCCAGGGGGAGGAGCTTGTATCGGCCGAAGTCCTCCGGGAGCCGTGCGCAAAGCGAGGCGCGGTAGCCGTTCTAGGCAGCGGTTGGCCGCCATATCCGTCTCTATGGTAGCGGGGGAGGAGCGGCCCCGCCCAGCGCTCTGGAGCCGTTGCGAGAAGGAAATGGCGGCGCGGCGCGGCTGAGACCGTCGGTGGCGGAGGCGAGATCCCGCACCCACTCCCCGCGGTGAGTGAGGGAGGCGGGGGGAGAAGCACCGGCGAGAGGAGGAGAGCGGGAGGCGGGCAGCCGCCGAGGCGGAAGGGTGGCGGAAAAAGGACGGCCGCCACCTCAGGCCTCGGGGCTCGGCGAGAAAATGGAGGCGGGCGGGCGGTGCGGGCCGGGCGGCCGCAGGGCTGCGGGGAGGGACGGGGGCGGGGGGGGCGGCGCGGCCTGTTTCCAGGGGACCGTCGGTACGGCTGTGGGGCGAGGGCGCATCGGAGGCCTGGCCCGCTTCCAGAGGAGGTCGGCGACACATTGCGGGGGCCCCGGAGGAAGCCCCGAGCCGCCGCCCCGTAAGCTCCTGACGTGGTTGGGCCGCGGCGGAGAGGACGGCCTCCGCGGGCGGAGCGGGCAGGAAGGCGGGCTCCTCCATCTTGGGGGAGAGACAAGGAGAGGACGGGCGTGCGATGAGCCGATCGACGTCACGGGTCAAGCTGACGGCGGTGAGATTCTCTGTGACGCTACAACCGACATAAGCGCCTTTTCGGTCCCGTACAACGAATCCCGCTACCGGATGAGGGTTTCTCCGCCGCTGGTCCGTTAGGCGGCGGGGTGCGGGCGGAGCGTTGCTCCTCCGGATGCCGCCTGAGCGCCGCCGGGGCTCGGGGTGGGTCCTGGCACGAGGTTACGGGGTTTGGCGCTGGGTGATGCTGAAGGCTCCTCCGTGGTGAGTTCAAGGAGAAAAGCAGGATTTTAAGAAGTGCTGGTGTCTTGTAGAGGAAGGAGAAGGGGTTGCATCGTTAGGTAGTTAATGCCAGTATTGTATTGAATGCTTATACTAGTCAGCGTTTGGTACTGTCTACCTTCCTCCTTCCCCATTGATGTACTTTAATACTGTCCCTTGGAGGTAATGATGTTTTAGAGCTGCTTATGTGCCTTGCACGAAGCTGTGCTTTGCATATGACTAAACTGTTTCGTACAGTTATCCAAGCAATAGCTCCATTTTAGTAGTGAGTGAATAAGATCCTATCATCTTAGCTTGTCATTTTTCACTTGGAAAGAACACTTCAGTTTCTTTAATAAACTGAAAAATATATATGGATTACACTCTTCTATATATTCAGTACTTTAAAACAGTATAATGTTCTTGTTTTTTTGCACTGGTTTTGTTTCTTTTTTTTCCTGGGAACTTCAGGATGGGAAAAAATGATGATTCCTTTTATTTAATGTGCAAAATTGTGTGTAGCATTCTTAAGATAATTTTTAAAAGTTATTAATATTTTGGACTCTAGATAATCTTTTTGAAACTGCAAAAGTAGTCAGTGCTTAACCATCACAGCCTTGTTTAAATATATTCTTTGGCAGTTGATATTCAACTGTCTTTTAATTTTATAGAAACTTTTCCACTTCTTACAACTATTTTATATAAGAACTTTTTTTGAAGTGGTAACATCAAGAAGAATAGCTTCAGCTATGTCTTGTTGATACATTTATAAATGAAATTTAGCAGCCATTTAAGCAGTTGTGTTGCTGAATAATGAAAAATGTCGATATGTAGTTAGTTTCT